GTAAAATCCTATGGAGGTGTTACTTTCGTCAAATTCCAACTTGACTAATTATAGTCTTCCTGCCTTCTCTTGCTGTACGTTGGTTAAGTAATGTTCTAACATGCTATACAGCATTAAATGACTGCAGTATTTTACCCAAGTGATGTTGGATTTTCAGTTAGCTGATTCATGTACATAATCTGTAAATAATAATCATCCTTAAGAAAATACTGTACATTCCAAATATGATTCAATTTTGATGTCTACAGACAAGCTGAATGAAAATAAAATAAAAAAAAGTTTCATTTTAACTTGTGAATTAAAAGATAAAATAGCCTTTATTTTCCCAAGTAATATAGTTTTATTTCATAATAGAAGACAGGAAGCATACTCTGCAAGTGCAGACTACTGGATAAACCCACTGAGCCCAACAGCAGTGACTTTATATTATAGCCATCATTGTGGGGTGCTGTGAGTAAACTAATTAGGATGGTTGTGTGGCAATTTCCCCACACTCATTTAATTGACCTGCTTGTGGCATCACATGGACATGGCTACACTGCTTCTGCTTTAGGAGACAGTCTGCCCAGAGGAAGTACTGTGACACATGGCATGAGCAGTGGGGCACTGTTGCTGGGCACTGTAAGTTTACCATGTACATGTGGCCCAAGACACTTCAGTCTCTCCTTGAATTGTTGAGATGATGATTTAAACTGAAGGGCTACTAAAATGTTACTTTATTTTTCACTATTTACTTTTTGCATTTCCTCTGTCAAAAAAATGGAAAATATTATAAATGACTAGATAACTTCTTTTTTCACAGTGCATGGGTTCTGAAACATTTCATAGTATAGTTTGAGTCCTCAAAGTGACGTCATCTTGCGGCTACCTCTTATGAACTTCACTGTCATGACCTATTCTTTCCTCTATATACTAACTACAGTAATTTCCCACATGAAAAGTCAGTATTAAATAAAGGACTTTATACTGTATATGTATTTTTAGCTGCTTTAACATAAGTGAATTACTTTTACATTGCCTGTAGTTGTTTTCTTTTTCCCTCTCCCATGTTTCTCACTCTCCGTTTTCTCACCATCTTCCCCCTAACCAAGATGCTATACACCACACACAGTCCTCCTCTCCCATTCAATGCTATGCTACCTGGTGTTCTCTTTTTGCTCTCCTGAAGATACTGCTATTCAATTTCCTTCTGTCCTGTGCTTCTCTCTCACTGGGAGACAAGTATCTTTATCAACATTCAGCTTCAGTCCTTCTTGTAGATCTGGTCCCTGAGCCCATTTTCTATGTTATCTCCCCCTACGTAGCAGTAGCCCCTAGTGGAAGCATCTAGGCTCAGAAGATACAGATAGAACAAAAAGAAGTGGCTAGCAACTTATGTCTTGTTAGCTCTTGCCAGTGCTTTTCTTTAACCTGATAAAAAAAATCAATTTCCTCCAAATAAATAAATGAAAACTATAAAGACATGTTATACATTATTGTTATGATTGAATCTTATATGATTACATTATGGTCTAGTTATTTGAATTTTTTCATAACATTTTTTTCACTCTGTACTTATAGATCATTAAAGAAAAAAAGCTGTTTCCATAATAACAATATAATTTTATAATCTTCCGTTTTGGAAAGAAAATAGTTTGAATTCCTGTCACTAACTTCTTATAAGGCACAAAATCTGAAATATGGTACTGTAGCTTAAACATATATAAAATATATGCTTTTATATATTTTCTACAACAATCTGAAACACTGTACTGTTATTAAAATTAAATATATATCAATAAATTAATATTATTTTTTTAACTTCTATTATCTTCTCTTCTTTACAGTTGGAATTGTTATATTTAGGCTACTTTCAATTTTACTCTAGCACTTTCAATTACATGCAAACTGCATAACCAGTATTCCATAATGCCTCATATATTAAGCACATTTTATTTTACATTTTTGTGATGTCATTTAAATTTTTGCATCTTTTATGCTTAGTTTAATTAATCTAATTTTCTTGCAGTTCTCTAAAACAATATGCACTGACCAGAAGACAATCTACCACACACTTGTTTTCTGCTCAACAGCACCTACCACAGTCACTGCCTTATACCAGTATCTGATTATCACGCTGACAGGACAGCTCCTCACTCTTCTTTATTGCAAATATAATAGTGTAGTACAGTATGTCTACGTGGGTATGTTAGTTCAGATTGGATTGCTGCAACGCTATTCATGTGATGTACAAAAATGCTACACATTCAGCATCTTCATAAATATATGCTATAGCAGCAGCTAATACTTGCTGATTTCCCCTGCAATAAGTGCTACTGTTGCTAGACTTTAAAAAGTATTTTGTTGATCTGAGGGGAGTGACAAGTGACTGCAGATAAAGGGTGAATGGAACAGGATGAAGATAGAAGAAAATGAAAAGGTGAATAAAATATGGGACAAGAAAGAGAAAACAAGACAAAAAAAGGAAGCAAGATAACAGAAAAGGAGATAACTACAGAGAGTGTCCCAGACAACAGGCAGCTTTTAGATAAAGTTATGTGGAGTTGGGACCACTTCCATCAGGGCTAAATTAAACCTTACATCTCAAACAAATAAAAGATCCAAAGTAGGTAACTCAGGAGCTGGTAAGAAGGAGGAGTGGTAGTGAAAGACAAAAACATATTTAAATCTTGACACTATTTTTTGTTTGGGGTAATTAATGGGCACTAACCTATTCCAACCCACTTCTGAAAAGGACAGTGAGTCCAGGCAAACCCAAAAGCCAGGATTAAGACTCAGTTACTGTGGTTACACTCTTTACTAGATGATCCATTATTTCTAACTTACTTTCAATATTAGTGGTCATTGGACGAAGTAATTTAAATTAAATCAATTCCTTGCATTTAAAGGTTCGAGTTCATTCCAATCCAGTGCTTTATCAACTGGTGTGCGATGGCTCGACTTGGTGGCACAAAAAATGAACGCTGATTTCCTTTTATGAGAACTTCCACAACCTGCAATACATATAGATTTTGCCTCATAAATTAATCTTATAAACATACACAGTCTAACATTTTATGAACACTTGGGTACAAGACTGCAAAGGTCTAACAGTCCATTTAATTTATCTATCATAGAATCATACAAAACCAAGGCTGGAAGGGACCTTAGGAGGTCATCTAGTATAACCCCTTCCTCAAAGTAGGATTATCCTCAACTGTACCATGCCAGCCAAAGGCCACTACCAAATACTTCAGAAGAAGATGCAGATAACCACAGGCAAAGCTTTTATTAAACCCCTCTCATCCATCAGATGAAATACACCTGAGGTCTACAAGTTTACTTTCCTTCTAAACTAACTGTAAAAAATCATACTTTGTTTAACTGTCTAATCCCTTTCTGTATCTTATAAGTGTGGCGGGGACCACCAGATGGTGCTGCTACACTGTTCTACAAGTTCTCTTTCTTAACACACAAGCAAGCTTTCAGTCTTTAATGAAAATGCTGCATTTTTGGTTTTCCAAAGTAGTTTTTCAGAAAGTGTGGCATTTGCTCTCTGTTAAAGTGAATTACTGAGGCACAATTCCTCCCTGAGAAGTAGGCATGAGACTTGAGTGGAAGTCCAAAAATATGGGATTACATGAAGGCTTTCGGTCAACCTGTATATTTGAAACCAGTGTAAATAACTTAAACAAATGGTTCTAAAAATATACTGAGATTTTACCTTGCTGATTTCTCCTGCAATATAAAACTTATATAAAAAAGTCCAATATTTGCTAGTGCTTAACAGTGAGTTGAGTAGATTTTGGTTTTACCTGGACAACAAATTGCACAGATTATGTGAGTGTAAAACGGTATTTCCTTTTATCAACTTTAAGTTTGTTATTTTCTCTAACAGCCCCCCTTGCTGTGGTCTTATTTTATTATGCGAAACACTACAAAGCACTGTTGATTTACTATGTTATTCATTATTTTATGCTTCTATGATATCCTAATGTGTCTATTTGTTAAACTGAGGGCATCTATACATTACATTTAAGACATGATTAATCAGTTAATCATTTCTTTAGTCAAAGGTAGACAAATGGTTGGAGGGCATTTAGTCAGTTTTGGGGACCCGTCGAGGGCCACATCCATCTTTCTCTCACTCTCACTCTCTTTCTCTTCTTTTTCCATACACTTGTAACTTAAGAACCCAGTCCCACAATTCACTGTACATGGACGTGTCTCTCTCTCTCTCCTCTATGTCACTTTCTCTTCTGTCTCTCTCCCCCTCTTTTCAGAATCTGCTGGAGCTGTAGTTTGCTGCAGCAGGCAGGCGGCAGGGTCAGCTGTAGATACTACTGGTAGGTTCAGGAGCCTACACACAGAACCGACAAGCAGCATCCACAGCTGATGCCACTGCACTCCCAGAGTAGTGCAAACTGCCGCCCAGAGCACCAACCCAGAACCTGCTGGCAACATCAGCTGTGGATCCAGGCAGGAGCTGCTGCCTTGCCAGGCGGGTGGCAGCATCAGCTGTGGGCACAGCCAGCCGATTCTGTGTTGGGGCTCTGGAATCTTGTTGGCTGTGCCCACAGGTGACACTGCTGCCCACCTGCTGGGATGGAAGCCCCAGCTAGGTTCACAGCTGATGTCTGATGCTGCTGGAATGAAGCAGTGCTACCTGCCCACCTGGCATCATGTAGTGGCCAGAGATGCTGCCTGCCTGTGGGCCAGATCCAATTAGTTCACGGCCATCCACCCATGGGCCGGATTGAATCTGTTGGTGGGCCAGATCCAGGCCATGGGCTATATATTGTCCAGCCTTGTCTTAAATTGTGACCCAGCCACAGTTTCAATCAAGTAAGGGTGTGATAAAACAAGCAATAAGCCACAGAGTTATTCCACAACAAATGCATAACTTTGTGGCTCGTTCTTATCATAACATTAGTTAAATGTGTGGTCAGCTCTTTGGCTGGAAGTCCTATCAGCTGATGGGGCTCCCAGCTGCAGCACTGCACCATGTACTGTCCCAGCTCGGAGTCCCACAGCTGATGAGGCTTTTGGCTTCAGCAGCATCCCATTCACTGCCTCAGCTGCAAGCCTCATCATCTGTGGGACTTGGAGCTGCAGCACCACGTGGGATGCTGCTGCAGAGCTTGCCACCTACCTGTCCGGGGAAGCCAGGGATCAGAATCAGCTAGGGCTCCCCTTGCATCGGCAATAAGGCACAACTGGATCTGATGCTGAATCTCACAATGTGGGCATGCTAGAAGGGAGGAATAGGCTGCAACTGGACCTAGACAGGTTACAGGGGTGGGCAGATGAGAACAGGATGGGATTCAACACTGACAAGTGCAAGGTGATGCACCTGGGGAGGAACAACCAGCAGCATACCTACAGGCTGGGGAACTCCCTTCTCGTCAGTGCAGAAGCAGAAAAGGATCTTGGAGTCATCATTGACGCCAAGATGAACATGGGCCAGCAGTGTGGGGATGCAGTCAGGAAGGCCAACCATACCTTGTCATGCATCCATAGATGCATCTCAAGCAGGTCCAAGGAGGTGATCCTCCCCCTCTATGCGGCACAGGTCAGGCCGCAGCTGCAGTACTGCATCCAGCTCTGGGCGCTGCACTTCAAGAGGGATGTGGACAACATGGAGAGGGTCCAGAGGAGGGCCACTTGCATGATCAGGGGGCAGCAGGGTAGGCCCTACGAGGAGAGGCTCAGGGACCTGAACCTGTTCAGCTTCCACAAGAGAAGGCTGAGGGGGAATCTAGTGGCCTGTTACAAACTAGTCAGAGGGGACCAACAGGCACTGGGGGAGTCCCTGTTCCCCTGAGCACCACCAGGAGTGACTAGAAATAACGGTCACAAGCTGGCAGAGGGTAAATTCAGACTAGACATCAAGAGTTGCTACTTCACTGTCAGGGCAGCTAGGATCTGGAACCAACTTCCAAGCCAAGTGGTGCTGACTCCTACCCTGGGGGTCTTTAAGACAAGGCTAGACAATCACCTTGCTGGGGTCGTCTGACCCCAGGACTCTTTCCTGCCATGGCAGGGAGTCGGACTTGATGATCTGCTCAGGTCCCTTCCGACCCTAGAAACTATGAAACAATCATGCATCAGATCCTATCAAGCCTTTACATGAACGTCTAGAGTGGCCCTAAGCCCAATTTCTTCTATGATAGTATTTTCATCCTTCTAAACCTTGTCTCAGTATAACAACTATTTCTGCTGCACCCTGATAAGGTGACCAGAACCGAACCCAGGAGTCCAATTCCTGATAAAGATCTTCATATATGTGTGTGATTACTTGTAATATTATGCTACTTTTTCTCAAATTTTCAACTAAAATTTTATGTATAGAAGTTGTTTCTCTTTCATTGAGGACTGAGGAGAGTATTTTACTGAATTGTTCAAAACTGTTTTTGCAGTAGATAAGTAGTTCAAATTACTTTCTAACAAGTATTGTCTTGCAATTATAGTACTATGATCTCATACAACTGTAATTTACAAACTAATGATGTATAAAAAGTGGTCTCTGGGCATATTGTTCATAATGCTTTGTTTTATAGGTCCTACAAAGTGAAATTCAGAGCTGGTGTAGGGATATGCAGCTTAAGCAAGGATTGAAGTTTGGCCCTTGTTCCTTCAATTGTGGTGCAAGGATTCTTCATGGTATTTAATTTTCCTGTCTATCCCATCTTCTGCTTTGTAAAATATTCAGCAAGCAGGACCTTTAAATTAGGCTTCCAAAAAGAACTATTTTTCAAGGATGCTGGACACCTGTGTCTCATACTGACCTTAATAAAAATTGTGGGAACTTGACATTTCCAAAAATTCAGCCACTTTCATTTAGGTATCTATATATGGGCTAGTAGTTTAACCTTACTCAGTTTTGCTAATAATAATTATTTTCCATGTCCTTTATATATTTAGGCAGAGAAAAAAAGCAATGCACAAGAAAGTTAATTTTAGTGCATATGTAA